TTTAGAGGCAGCACAACTTTGGGAAGCTGTGCTTTGAATGCTGGCAGTGGCACAGCACACTGAACACCTATTGTGTTGCTGGGATAGCGCATTGCTTTGCCATCTCAGCCCACTGCTGGCAAGACCCAGTTTCTCACAATCCCGGCTTTGTACTGCCTGTGTCCTGGAATGACAGATACGTGAGATTTGCTCTGATGGCTGTGGATCTTGAGTACAGTTAGTTAACCCCTGTGGAACTGCTGCTCCTTTTCACAATGCTGCCTTGTGGCTTGTGCCTTACAACTTCTTTTTTTAATGATAGTTCTCAAGACATTATTTGGTTAGCCGGAAGTTTGACCTGGGCAGTAGCTAAGTAAGTAGATGAGAGAAAAAAAGAATGAGGTTTCCTTAGATTATTATAATAGCCTACTTCTTTGCTACAGCCTGCCTTTCAGTATTGCACTGCCTTACTTCAATTCCTCCATCACCACATATGCAGTATTAAGGGGGGGGAAACCCACTTATTTCTTTTTTACTCATTGCTGCTCTTCCTGTCTGTTTAGTTCTTTTTTGTATGGCTGAGCTGTTTCATCTGCTGCCTGGCTCCTGCTGAATTGAGGACAGTGTTCCAGTGGTAGTGTTCCAGTTGTACAGGCTAATAAGTGTCCTCTGCTGACAGGCTTATAAACACATGCCTGCTTTTAGATATATCCATAAAAATATAAAGATTCATTTAACCTTGTGTGAGGGTTTGGCTTTAGGCTCCTCTTTCGGTTCAAAGAAATCAGTAGATTTTTGTTGCTTTGAAACAGGTGAAAGATTTATTGGTGCATTTAACAATAAACAAGTGTCTGTGACATGGTATTGAGTCTTTTCTCCTTCTGCCAACGGGTCCAGAAGGGGTCTCCAATCTTCTAAGAGGAACAGGTTGCCATAACTATTGTTCCATGGTCCTAGTAAATCAGCAGGGATCCAGTCTTTCATGGTCTGCCCTGTCAAACCTTCCAGCAAGGGCACAGTCTCATCATCCCGATCGCCATTCCGCAGGTTTAGTCCCTCGTGGTCTCGATCTTCCCAGGGTCCTCCCTGTAGTACTTCTTCCTCATCTCTCTTATTCTCCATTCTAGCCTCTCTCTCCCTTCTCTCTCTCATCTTTCCTTTTCTTCTCTCAACCTCCTCCACTCTCTCGCCTCGGCTTCTCCCCAATAAGAGGGTCTTGGGGGAATCTGCCTCCTCTTTAGGCACTCTCAGCCTCTCCCAGCATCCTGTCCAGGGGTCCTCCATCCAAACCCATTCCCAGCCTGCTGGTAACTGACTCTCCTTCCCTTTTAATCCTCCTGTTCCTGCCTCAAACTCCACCTTTTCTCTCTTTTTTCCTCCTGAACCTCTCTCACTGTCACGCCCTGCAAGTTCTCAGTCAACTCCCCTCTTTTTGTCCCTTGCTGAGCTTCAGCCGCAGATCCTGGTGTTGGCTGGGGACTCTCCTCCTTATTCTTGTTTTGGGGGAGGGACAACTCTCCAGCGAGTGGGACATCCCTCTCCTCTTTGGTCTCACACCTTAGCAGTGGTGTATCTTAGCAGATAAGTTTCAGTTACTCACATTCATCCAAGTTCTGTTTTTAAAAGAAATAGGGTTATTTAAGGCCCCAAATTAAAAAAAATATATACACAGTGACTACTCTTTGGGGAATAGCATATTAGAAAGGTGTCTAATAATAATTGTGTGTGGTTACGCCAATTATGATTTATGTTGATCCTTTCCAGGGTTTTCTAGGCAGAGAATACACCAAAGTGGTTTTCCAATTCCTTCTTCCTGGGACTGTGCAGCTTGTCCAAGGCCACACTGGCTGCTTCTGGGATGCACAGAGGAGGAAGTGAACTCCTAACTTCTGACTCCGCAGCCAGATACCTAAACTGTTATGCAACTTTATGTACCATATTTTTCCATGTATAAGATGCCCCTCCACTGGGAAAACAGGAATCGAAGCGCTTTGATGATTCTTGCTTTTCCTCTCCACTTTCTTTCCCCCTCCACTTTCTTGCACTTTCCTTGCAAGAAAGTGGAGGGGGAAAGCAGGAATTATCAAAGCGCTTTGACGATTCTTGCTTTCCCTCTCCACTTTCTTGAAAGGAAAGTGCTTTTCCCCTCCACTTTCTTCACAAAAAGTGGAGGGGGAAAGCAGGGATCAAAGCACTTTGATCCTTCCCTCCTCCTTACTTCTGTGTATAAGATGGCCCTCAATTTTTAATCTAAAGATTTTATTCTGTTATACATGGAAAAATACGGTATTCTAGTAGCAGATTACCCCATAAGCAAGGGAAAATTTAATATGTATCTCACATGTAAGGCACAAAATGACTTAAATGTAAAATAAATGCGTATCAGTATGGGCAACTGAGCTTTTGAAGTGTGTAAGAATTATGTAATACAGTAACACTGGGCACTGAAACCTGTGATTTTGCAGTGTTTATAGACCAAAACATAGAAGCCTGCTTGGCCAGGATGTACATTTATCTTAAGAAGGATAGAAGCATATACACTATTCTGGCTGTGATATGCAGCAGTCACAGTAAGACATACAGTGGTGCCCCACTTGACGATTACCTCGTTAGGTGAGGAAATTGCTTAACAATGAAGTTTTTGTGATCGCAAAACGATGTTTTAAATGGGAAAAATCACTTCACGATGCCCTGCTTTGGGAACCGATGTTTCGCTTTATGATGATCAGAAAACAGTTGATCATCGGTTTTCAGAATGGCCGCCCGCTGTTTAAAATGGTTCCCCGCTGTGCTTAGGGTGGATTCCTTGCATTACAGGCACCAGAAAATGGCCACCCTATGGACGATCTTTGCTGGACGCCGAAGCATTTCGCCCATTGGAATGCATTGAGCGGTTTTCGATGCGTTTCAATGGGCTTTTTCATTTCGCTTGACGAGGATTTCGCTTAACAGCAATTTGAACGGAACAGATTATCCTCGTCAAGCGAGGCACCACTGTATTCCTCAGTGCAGATCCATTCAACTGGATCTTTGTTGTGCTTGCAACAGAGTGGGTAAATTTTGCCATCTGTAGAACATTGGGAGTGAAATGTGACTTTAGTCACATATCGTTTTAAACTATTGGCATGATAAACTGGGGCCAGAGATAAAAGTAATTTCTGCATGCATTACTTAAACGTGAGGGAATAGAGTAAGAGATGAGAAGGGGGTGGTGATCCTTGTTATGAAATCATTCTGATGTGTCAATTATGATAGATTTTGCAAAATTGCTATTCAGACTTTTGATGTACTGTACTCTAGACCAGTGGTCCTCACCCTTTTTGGGACTGTGGACTGGTTGGGAGGTGCAGGCTCTGTGGGGGGTGGGGTAACCTCCATTTTTGCGGGTGGGCATGTCATGGTCTTAGGTGGTTGTGTCATGCTTGCAGAGGGGCATGTTGCGCTCATGACACCCAACCGCGAGCGCATCAACACCCCACGTGTACAGGCGGCAAGCAGAGATCCATCTCCGCTGCAAAGTTCCAGGAAGCCCACGGACCGGTACAGGCCATGGACCAGGAGTTGGGGACCCGTGCTCTAGACCATCAGTCACCTTTCCATGCTATTTTTCTATAGAAAAGGTTTTGAGAAATGTAATAGCCTAAAGCTTTGTATGAGAAAGCGGCTTCTCAGTGAACCATAGAGGGATCAGCAGAGGTGGGGCCAGAGGAAGGAAGTAAAGAAGAGGGACTGTGGGCTGGAATGTGACTCATATGAAGGGTGAACTCCCGAATCAGTCCACAGCCCTTGTGTGAGCAGTAATTGTCATTTCAAATGCAATACAGACTGCAAATTAAATTGCAGTGTAGTCATACCCTTACAATGTTTTTAGCTTTCTCCAAAAAGAGTTAGGAGAGGTAGACAAATGACCTTTTGCAGAATCACAGGACTGAGACCATAGCACAGGAAGCTTTAATTCTAGTTGACAACAATTTACCTTCCAAAAACCCTAGGAAAAGGCTTAAAAATTATTTGCTGCCTACTAGCTACATACAGAGGGAGTACTGTAAGAGAAGACAGTGTTGTCTATTGTGCACCTGCTGAAATGTGTAACTGTAGCAAACAGGTCAATACTTGTCTTCTATATAATGTGCATGGTTCCCGGTCTTGTTCTTTAAAAAGATTTGTAGCGTATCTTATCGTCATTTGTGTTTGCTAGGGCGTCTGTACTGAGACTGCCACCTACCCACACTGTCTGCTCTGCCCTTCCTAATTGATCTCTGATCCTTTTTTATTTCACATTTCTTTTGCATAATTCTTCCTTATCTACAAAGCAGGTTTCTGGCCTTGTAGATTCATAAGAAACAGGAAGTTGTGGTGAGTAACAAAGGAGAATTGGAAGTTGAACAGAAATATGTTAGGGATCATTCACCTTTTTTTCTTCACAGTGACAAGGCACCATATGCACACAAAATGTTCCTTTGTTGTTATAACTGGAGCTATACTATTTGTTTTTACCTTACTTAATGGCTCAGTTACTCTTGATATTGCCCATTATTGGCAGAAAATTATTTGATATGTTTTTAATTATAGTAGGATTCTTCTGACAGAAAGAAAGAAAGATTTAATCTTTACTGCTAACAAGCTCAGCTGTATGTGTGTATGAGAGAGAGAGAGGGTGCTCTTAGGCACGTGGTGCTTCATTATGATTTTTCAAATGGAGGTCAAAGATAGGATATTCTTGTCTTTGCAATAATAATGTAAGTTGATAAAGAGGAAAATGCTTTTAAAATGAAGTATTTTTAATAATTGAAGAGATAACAAGAACTACTTTGCCACCTTTCAGAAATGACTATCCACCTCTTACTTGTGTTTTCAGAGATTAAATTATAGAAATCTTTGTCATAAGCGTCTCTGACTTTCTTCAATAGTTTATACCTGCACTTTTGAGGATGTCACCTATTTGAGCACTGAATAATTCTTAATTTGAAAGCCAACAGAACGATGTCTATCTGACGTCTCTTCCTCTTCTTCTAATTTAGGTATGACTCAGGGAAAGATGGTTACATTGACCTTATGGAGCTGAAACTGATGATGGAGAAACTTGGTGCACCTCAGACTCATCTAGGCCTGAAAAACATGATCAAGGAAGTGGATGAAGACTTTGATGGCAAACTCAGTTTCCGTGAGGTAAGTGCCAGGAAATATAACAAAAAAATTAAGTAGGAAATAAAAATATGGATCTTTGCCTTCCACATTTGCTCTGTCACTTCTTTAGGATTTCTCCTCCCTTATTTCTTCTTAAGTACATGCTTTTACATTGTTGATTTCTATCTATCTATCTATCTATCTATCTATCTATCTATCTATCTATCTATCTATCTATCTATCTATCTATCTATCTATCTATCTATCTATCTATCTATCTATCTATCTATCTATCTATCTATCTATCTTGTGTGTGTGTGTGTGTGTGTGTGTAAAACACCTCAAGATACATGTTAAACCAGGTTGAGGTATTCATCTATAAGAGAGAAAAATTAATGCAAGACAATACAAAATAGTGGGTCCCTCATAGCACTTTGCATATAACTTGCAAATTATTCTTAGACATCCCTCCCATATAGTACTTTAAACCTCCTGCTTTGAGGTCTCAGCCAGTATCCTATTTGGTTTTCACTCTGGAGAAAATCTTGCTAGCATCCAAAGTTGCACTTTTGTAGCCATTGCTTTTGGTAAGGGAAATATGTGTTTTCTTAATGGACATTATTGCTTGCAAAATTGCAGTGCTTGCACAAGCAGCATGATCCTGCATGACTTTGCAGCAGGACTTACTTTCTGTTCAGTGGAAGGTCAGCTCTTGAAAATGCCTAATTCTGCACAAGAAAAGCTACGATGGAATTAGCGGTATGAATAATGTCTTGGGATATTGTCCGCTCTATGGACTCTCAATTGAGGAGTCCTGCAGGGGTCAGTCGTCTCTCCAATTCTATTTAATATCCATATGAGGCTGCTGAGGGAGGTCATCAGGAGTTTTGGAGCTTTGTGTCACCAATATGCGGATGACACACAACTCTCTCTCTCCTTCCACCCTTCTGCAGTGGATGCTGTCCCGTCCTTTGAGCGCTGTCTGGATGCAGTGCTGGGATGGATGAAGAACAACAGACTGAGGCTGAACCCGGACAAGACGAAAATACTGTGGGTGGGGGCCCCTAGTGTCTGTGGTCTAGGTGCGTCCCTATCTTTTGGGGGGGGACTCTTTCCATGAAGGATGAGGTTTGTAGCTTGAGCGTGTTTTTGGACCCACCGCTATCAATGACATCTCAGATAGTGTCTGTGGTCCAATCTGCTTATTTCCACCTAAAGCAGATCGCCCAGATACATCTCTACCTTGACACCGGGTCCCTCACCACGCTGGTCCATGCACTGGTAGTCTCGAGATTAGACTACTGTAGTACCCTCTATGTGGGGCTGCCCTTGGGATTGCTACGGAGACTGCAATGGTTCCAGAATGCGGCAGCCAGACTTCTGAGTGGGGTTAGAAAATACCAACATATCTTCCCCACCCTGGCTGCCTTACACTGGCTACCTGTTCGCTTCTGTACCCGTTTCAAGGTGATGGTACTAACGTATAAGGCCCTAAACGGTTTGGGACCTCGATATCTGGCCAAGCGCCTCCTTCCAGTTAGGTCTGCCCGCCTTATATGATAGTTGCACGCAGGGCAGCTGAGTATTCTGACCCTGAGAGAGGCCCAGAAAACAACCACTAGAAATTGAGCTATCTCCGTGGTAGCACCACAATTATGGAACTCTTCCACCCGAAGTCCGCCTGGCCCCTTCACTGGGCACATTCAAAAAGCTACTAAAAACCTGGCTATTTAGAGGGGACAGGAGGTGAGAGGACAGTGGGTCCAGCTTTCTAAGCCCCGAAGCTGACAGTGTTATATTGTATATTTATGTTATTTATATGCTACATTTCTCCCCAGAGGTGGCTTACAACAACCAAAATTTGTAAAACAATCAACAGTTTTAAAAACACTTTATAAATATCATATTAAAAGCAATCAAACATATATCAAAATTAAAGCTAAGATCAAAAACCTTTTTTAAAAAAACATTTAAAAATCTTTAGGTTTTAGTGGTACAGTCGTGCCCAGCTTAACGATTACCCCGCATTACGACGAATCCGCTTCATGACGATGTTTTTGCGATCACAATTGCGATCACAAAATGATGGTCTAAATGGGTTTTTTTCGCTTTGCGAAGATCGGTTCCTTGCTTTGGGAACAGATTCTTCGCATTATGACGATCAAAACAGTTGATGTCGGAGTTTCAAAAAGGCCGCTGGCTCCCCGCTGTGCTTAGGGATGGATTCCTCACTATACAGGCACTGAAAATGGCCACCGTATGGAGGATCTTCGCTGGACAGTGAGTTGTTAGCCCATTGGAATGCATTAACCGGGTTTTAATGTGTTTCAATGGGTTTTTTCATTTCGCTTTACAACATTTTCGCTCTACAGTGATTTTGCTGGAACGAATTAACGTCGTTAAGCGAGGCACCACTGTATATATATATTTAGTGGTAGGAGATATCTTCAGAGCAAGATGAAGTGCCCTTTCCTAATTTTGGCTGATTTACTAGCTATGTTATCTACCTAGAAAGAATGATAGGACCCAGCAACAGTTTTATATGTTCCTTTAGTTTTCAGGCTTTATTGCTATCATGCATTATAGTTGAGGCTGCCTTTGACAAGTATGTCAAAGGAGTCTTGTCAGAAGAATGTGGCAGCTGAGCATGGGTGACTAATATCTACATATTTAAAAAAATCTTCATCACTTTCTGGTTTCTTGGTATAATTCCTGGCACAGCTTTTTAATTTTAAGTGCTAAATGATTTGGAATCAAAGATACTTAAAATATTGCTAAATGGTTTGGAGCCAGGGTACCTAAAATATTGGCTGCTGCTGTATAAATATACCACAAAGAAGAGATCATAATCAAATGTGCTTCTGTGGATACCCTTGCCTGATGAAAGAAGGTCTCATCTATGGTTGTAAGCCAATTGTGGAACTGTTTCCCAAAAGAGATCCACTGAGTTTCTTCATTATTATCTTCTGCGTCCTATTTTCTTGTTCTTTTAGCAAGTTATTAATTGCTTATATAAGTGTATGTGTGTGGGGAGGAGAGGGACTGTTGACCATAATTTTTGCATGTATTGGTTCTATCATCTCATTAGGGGGAGGATTCCTATGCCATTTCACATTTTCTGTGCAACCTACATTTGAACCAGTAAGCAAGTTCAAACATGTTTATGAGTAATCTGGCCTTTCTCACCAGATTACTCATAAATTATAAGCACAAACATAGATTCCAGAAAAAAAGATGACAAGTCATAGAAATCCTCCCCCTAATCATCATCATCATCATCATCTTAGAACTGCAGAGCTGGAAGGAACGCTATGGATCATTGGGTCCAGTCCCTATCAAGGAAACACAGTAGGGAATCAAATTTCACTGAGCTATCCGCGAGGGCATGCTTTCTTATTTTAACTGTCCTTTTATGTTTTTAATTTCACTAAGATTTTTTAAATGCTGCTTTGAATGCTAACTGTGGCAGGAAAGCAGCATCCAGATGAGTGACTCTTGATGCTGCATTTACCATTGCAGCAGGAAAAATATTTTGGGTGTGACCAGAAAAGTACCTCCTGACTAGGCCACTATGTCATATTTACTTCTCTTTCAATAGGACCCAGTCACCTACCTCACTGCTTCTTCATAACTTACTATAAACAGTGTAAACATTGTGTCTTAAAAAACATTTATCTTGGCTTATGCCAAAACAGCAGGGCAGAATAGTTGAAACTGAGTCTGCCCTGCTTTGAGTACATCATGAGAAGGTGGGATTCTCTGGAAAAGACAGTAATGCTGGAAAAGGCAACAGAAAAAGACGAAGACTGAATACAAGGTGGACTGACTACCTAAAGGAAGCCACAGGCTTGAGTTTACAAGAATTCAGCAGGGCTGTTGAGGACATTTTGGAGATTGCTCATTCATAGGGTCAACATAAGTTTGAAGCACCTTGGTGACACAGCAGCAGCAGCAACAACAAGAACAACAGCTTCTTGACAGTAAATAAATTCTTGGAAGCAAATTGAGCTGATCATCCTTTCTCCGTCTCCCTGTGTCTTCGGGGAAGCGGGGTCTCATTACCAACTATGCAGTGAAACTGAAGTGAAGACTCTTCCTTTTTTCATAGGGAATACTTGGGTACTAAAGCAGATTTCATAGCACACATGAGGAACCCGGATGTTTTTGTAGGTTTGGACCTAGCTGTTGAATGACCAATACTCAATGTGGTATGTGTATGTGTCTAGGTGTTGCATCACTCCAACTTCTGCCTAGCGTGGGAAGACCAGGCCCATCGTGTGCAATGCATTTCTTCAAGAGCTGCCAGCACCACAGATAAAATGTTTCTCAAACAGGAACCCCCACCCAACATATTGACGTATCAGTAAAATATATATACTCTGTTTTTAAAATATATCAAGTAGTAAGGGACTGCACTGCCTCAGGAAATGCGATAAAATAAATTGTTTTCACGGTGTAACCGGCCATAATGTTTCAAATAGGAAGAAATGAACTGGTAACATTAAAGCAAATGGGAATGTTCTTCCTGGGATATACGCCACATGCCGGTGATTCAGTACAACAGAGGTATGGAAAGCGTCGTTAGAACTGGGTACATTTGGCTGGTGTGATCAGGCTCTATGTATGAAAGGGGGGAGGCATTTGTCCTTTGTTCTTTTTACTACTGTCATTTTCCCCATGAATTCCTGAAAGTTGTTCCCCTCCCAACATCTCATGCATATATCCCACAGAGACTAAACTGGTTCAAACAAAACTTGACACCCTATTAACTGAATCTTTAAGGAAGCTGCAAAGGACTAGAGTGAAAGCAGGAGGAAGGTAAGGGCACGTCCATACAGGGGAAGTTGGAGCAGTTTGGTTTGTACTTAAAAGGCTCTTATCTTTAGTGTGATCTCTTATCTCTCACCTGAATGATCCTTCCATTCACACTGACCAATGTTTTTTGGTGTAAGAAAGGTCCAGACAGATTTTGGGATCACTCCATTTTGCCCCCCCCTTTCGATTATTGATGCTTCCCTTCCCGAGCTCTTCCCCGCCTTTTC